AAGAACAGAAAAGGGCGGAGTGGGTGGGTTCTTTTGGGCACGGCCGATCGGCTCGTGCCAAAATGGCCACGGATAAATGGCCTCAGGGCAGTTCTTACGATCGCAAAACTGATCCCCCAATTCCAGACCTACCTAGCCGACAATTACGAGACACATACATGACGTACGTAAACCAACGCCTGTGAACAGTTTTGAAGAGCTGCGATGGCCTGGCCTTTTGCCGATGACATGGCATTCAAGGCCAGCTGCTCGCAGCGACGGAGCCAGCTCCTCCACCTGACAGAAAAACTATTGCACAGTTGAGTCTATCTTATGCTCGGCACTGCCGACTGAACGGCGAGTCACCAGTGCAAGCAGGTGCCTCTGGGTAGTGTCCATCGACGAAGAAGAGGGCAGCCTTGGACATTGGACTGTCAAAGGTGACCAAGACCAAGCATCTCAATCCATCAACAGCCATCTCTAAGCTCAGAGCACCGAAAGCTTCGGCTGATGAATCGACAACTCATCCCTCCGAGATTTTATCTTTTTCTGCTGGTGCCCTGAGGAGTCGGCCAGGCACGCCTGCTCGTGTGCTCGAAGCACCTGACTCAAAAAAAAACGACTCATGCTCCTCTTCCTATCACATGGACATCCGGTCTGAAGAGTCCTGGAGGCAGAACCCGTTCTGTTTTTTTGCGCGGTGTTCTGCCGACAATCCCCTCGCCCTCTTGGCGCTCAGTGAGCTGGAACATGTGTCCCTCCCATCTTTGGCAGAATATTCCGCACACCGATCTGGGCTCATTGATTCAAGAGGCGTGCGCCAACCAGAGGCAGCGAACTGCAGACATATCGTCTGTATCACATACAAACAGATCACAGATCGCATGTGATCACCACGCTTGGACCAGCGTGTCAAGCGCATGCTTGCACTGCAAGTCGGAGGCTTGGGGTTTGCACGAGCAACGCCTCCTCAAGCACAGTGTCTCGGTTCTTGTTGGGCGCCGAACCCTTAGAGTTGGATGATGGGAGCAAAGCCGAGACCTGACCATGTCCCGTCTGCAGTTCGCGAAACTCTAGGTGCACCGACGGTATCCCATCAGATGGTACAAGACGTGGCTACTTAGTCTCTGGACGCTCAGGCTGCTCCGATGATCAAAGGGCATCGACAAGCCCCGCCTTCAATACTCCAAGTTCAAGCTGCGGTTTTGACCTGAAGGTTCTCAATGTCCAGGCGGATGGGCCGGCTTCGCCGTGCTTCCAAAGCAAACGGTGCGATTTGGCGAGCAGCCATGGCCATACCTCAGCACAAACATATCGGGCTTGAAGCAGCCGTGTACTGTAACCCCTCACGGAATGCTGTGTTGCGCTGTAGCATGCCGCATACACGGAGTCAAGACGACAACAACTGCTGAGCAGTTGGATCATGCCAGCTGTACTGTACAGCTTTGCGGCGTGGGAGAGGAAAAGCCGCAGGAAAAGCTGTGATTCAGACTGTGTTTCCAGGCAGATCCTGTCTGATACGGTAGTTGACACTCTGAAGCATGAAATCACCATTCCTTTCTCTTCAACAGAATTCTCACTGTGTGGGCATCGTTGCAGCTCCAGTGACAACTACAAAATAACGCTGAATTAAGCATCTGTATGTCAGACCCATGCAGCGAAGACAGTAGCCGAGTCCCCTTGCCAACACGAGACTGCTCATCGCGGATGTATGACGGTGTGATACGGTGTGCATGGCTGGGAGGTCGCGCGGGCTGATCCAGGGACTGGCGGCTCCTCTTCAATCAAGGCCAGAGACAACCCACTGCTCTGAGCTAGGTTGTAAGGCGAATTCAACTGGAACAGCGGGGAACTCTGCAAACTGCAGAGCACACACCGCAAACAGACTCGACGCTATCCACGGCCCTCAGCCAGCCAGGGAGGAGCAGCTTCCATCAGACGTAGAAGCATTGGCCATGGAGTCCTCGCTGAGGATGCCCTGAAAGTTTGCAAGCAGGTTCCAAGACTTCCACATGACATTGGGTGTATGCTTGTGGCCTTCCTTCCCCGTCTCCTTTGGTAGAGAGGGGACTTGTCCGGAACTCAGCAGGTTCATCCGACTCGACAAGAGAGCTAACGTCCCCAAGGCGTACATACTGCTGAGCGTCAGCGACATTCAGAAACAACTTGGGGAGCGACGCAGCATTTGATCTTCTTCAACAAAGACCTTATCCAGTGGCTCAGACAGGCCGCGCACACGCGCCCCGATCAATGCTCCACGAGTTGCTGCCAGGTCACGCGGCGCTTTTCCTTTAAATCCACTGGCAACACTGGAGGCAGAATGGTCCTCTGCTGCAAGCTCTATGCTGTGAAGAGTGCTTCAAGCTGGACCAGTTCTGCTGCTTCAAGCCTGCTTGGAAGAGAATCTTCCTTCTTGAGCTGGGAATCCCCTTGCTCAGTTTGCCTCAACATTGCGACAGCCACTGCGCTCTAACCCGTGACATGAACGCATGGCTGAGGTCGGAGCAACTTCTCTTCCTTACCCAGCAAGACAGGTGGGACACCTGTTCAGAAGTCTTTCATAAGAACGAATGTTCGCTGAGATCTCCCGTTGGATCCCATTGGCTTCTTCTGGAGCAGAGATGGAGCTGCATTCTCACACGGCAGGCCTGACAGATCGCCAGACGCCGACTGTGTTGATGCGTGTGCCTCCTGCCGAACACCCAACGAGTGCCCCCATGCCCTCTGCTCTATGACTTTCCAGGCAATCGGGTGGCACCTCGACAGCGGCAACCTCAGGTGACTCATTTGCCAATGGGGGGGGGAGGGCGGAACCTATGGGGTTTCCTTTGTCCTTTCAATTCCTCCACCCCTCCGAAGTAGGCGTGTCGTGCACTGACTCAATCGCTCAACTTGCTCAGCACATTCTACGTTGCTCCTTGGGCACTTGCTTCTTGCAGGGCTGCAGCTGAAGCTGCCTGCGCACCAGCTTGATCTGGAAAAGAGTATCGCCTGTGCAGGGACTTCATGTGCAACAATGCGCAACGCCCATCACGAACTTGCCGGACATCCCACACCACCTCAGAAAGGATGAGCGGCTGCCATAGGCGACCTTGATACCTCGCTTACTCGTGCATACATGTCTCACGGGTCTCACGAGACAGTAAAACATCGAAAGCACGCCGGGGCCACTCTGACGAGAAGGGACGAGGAGGCTGTCCGACCAAGCGCTGGACACCAGCCTAAACTGGATGCTACCACGGGGGCAGCATGCATCAACTATGGCTGAACATGAAATGCTCGCTTGATCTCAGCATACGCCTGCCGAATGGGTTCAGCCTACGCTGCTTCCTTTGGCCAAGAAGCGTCTGGCCAGTCCAAATGCTGGTGCTTTCCCTGGAGCCACTTGGAAGGATCGGCGAAAACGCGAATCCAGTTGTCAGACCCTGAGACCGGCGCAGCTCATCGTTAAGCGAACTCGCCCTGTTCTGCCACATTGCATCCGCACGCGGTTGAAGAAGTATGATGGGTGCGGGTGTATGCGATGATCCAACATGACCCAATCCAAACAGCACAGGCAGGACAAGTCGGGACACCTGGGGCCCTTCGTCCAGGAATTGCTCGTTGAAGTTCCTGTCACCAAGATGAAGAGGTCGGAAGATCTGAAACACAGCAGGCAGATAGGGCGCCTGTGAACAACTCTAAGGAGCAAACCTCATAGCCACATGCATCCACAAAGCGATCAGATTGCCATAATGATACGATGGCCAGCTCAGCTGCTCACCGAGAACCTCCCGCTGGATCGGCGGCCCTCCTCTTTTGCAAGAGGAGCCTGTGGCACGAAATCAGGATCAGCTGTTCATAACGCCTAGCACAAACAGTGAAAGCAGGATTGTCGAGCCTGCGGCAGCGACTCCAATAGCTGCTGCCACCTGCACCATCACAACCCCGCCAATAGAAACTCGAAAAGTGATTTTAGTATTGGCGGGGGGCGGCAGGGTTCACTACTACTATCATGATTCGGGTAATTACTCATGGTTAGATCCGCTGTTGAGTCTTTAGTGAATAGAAACACAGAGAAAGCCAGAGAGAGAGAGAGAGAGAGAGAGAGAGAACGAGTCCTACATTCGCGAAGCTTCGCAGTCATTCCCAAGAAAAGGCTCAGAGACCCTCTGGTATGACGTGAGGTAGGCTATGCACAGCCAGGCTTACAGACTGCGGAGGCAGTCAGTCCAGTGCTGCGAAATGGAGGATCTTTTTAAACCCTGAACCATCCTCTCCTCCTAGTTAAGATTGGCTTTAAAGGCGGGGATGCTTTCACGTGGAGTTTGAACAATAGGTGTTTTATTGCTACGGGGGGTGATCCATAAACAGGGAGCAAGCAGATGTAAACCCGATAAAACTTCGATCTTCATGATGCCGTGGATATGTCGGGGACGAATACTGCAATCAATCAAGAGCCAGACTGTCGTGTTCAGCGCACTCCGGGTCTTCCACACTCAGAACTGCCGCCAACGCATCTGAGAGGACGGCATCTGACACCAGAAAACCCTTGGGCGGAAGCAGAGCTGCAGTGAGGCTGCACTGGCTGTTGCCAGTGCAAGAGCAGTCCATGCGTAGATCGCCAGACTCCTCCCATGGCTTCAAGGCTCGAGCCACAGCGAGAAGATACTGGGTTGCCTCAGGGCCCTCCGCCTCCATATCTATGCCCTCCAAAGTACGTAGGCCAAGCATAACCGCTTCGAACATAGCATCTCGCAAGTCGTCGCGTTGCGATGTATCCATTTCCAACATAGATGCGGGTGCCCCACTTTCGATCCAAGCACAGTACTCGTTCAATGCCCTCGGACGAGTCGCGCGCAATCCCGCAACGAAAGAGGCAGCACCATTTCCGAAGGCTGCATACGGCTTGCGCTGCCAGTATGTCTGATTGTGCCGTGATCTGTTGCGGCTCGGACCCTCGGACTCAGTGCTTTTGCGCGCGTAGTTGGAGATCTCGTAGTGCTCAAAGCCCAGCGCCTCCAACTCGTCGTGAGCAGCTTCATAGAGTTGGGCTGCGACTTCCTCTGTCGGCCGACCGGAGGCGCCCGGATCCGGAAACCGCCGGGCGAAATCCGTGTCCTGCTCATACTGCAAATCATAGACTGACAGGTGATTTATCCCCAACTCGTTCAACTCACGCAGCTCATATCTCAGCTGCGCCTCAGTTTGTCCAGGAACTCCACTCAAGATGTCGGCGGAAATGTTTCGAAATCCACATGTCTGCAGGAGCTGGATCGCCTCTCTCGCTTCTTTTGCAGTGTGCCCGCGACCACACCGAGTTAAAATCTCGTCACTTAGACTCTGGATTCCAACGCTTGCCCGCACAACACCACAAGATGCCAATTGACGGGCCTTCTCTTGGGAAAATGTCCCTGGGTCCATTTCGAAGGTGATTTCACAGTCTGAATCAAAGCCAAAGCGCTCACGCAATAACATAAGAAGCTCTTCGAGATTTTCAGCTGGAAGGAGGGATGGCGTGCCTCCGCCAAAGTACAAGCTGCGCAATGGCTGACTCTCAAAGGAAGCCTCCGCCAAGCTTCCGGAACCGCCGCTCAAGATTTCCTTTTTCAAACAAGATAGATATCTGCTGACTCTGGGTCGCTCAATGCTCTGGCGAACAACATCGATCGGGAAGTCGCAGTAGTGACAGCGTTGACGGCAAAATGGTATATGCACATAAACAGAACGCACAGGGCACGGACGGAGCATGTCAACCGGGAAACAAACCCTGCCAGCTCTCCTCTTCGTGAATCCAGGCGATCTAAGCCATGCGTAAGCACGGCAAGCAACCACGACGGAGCTCAGAAGCCATGGACTGTGAGAACCAAAGCTCTGCCTGTCCGTCAGTGGGTGACCTGCCAAGCTCCTTCGGACGCGCAGGCAAGCGAATGAGGCTGGAGCTGCATTCGCGATGGCAGGAGCTGCAGGCTGCATGGCACTGCAGTTGCGTTCACTGAAAGTTGCTTCGGGTGCAATGCCGTTCAAGTACCTTCAAGTAGTGCAAGAAGGTACGTTACAACATGCTGCCCAAATGCCTGGCCTTTGACTCTCATCCGCCGGCGGAAGCAAGAGTGGAATGCCCCAGTCTCTCACAACCTGCAAACTGATCGCAGATCTGGGGTTGGTTGGAGACCTGCTATGACAGGCACGCTCCGTGCCTCCTCATCAATCAGGGAGCCTCTTGAAGCAAGGCTTTTTCGCTTGCCACGCAACACGATACCTGACGTCCTTGGCGACTTCGATTGTAGCGTGATGTAGCGTGTGTGAAATGTCTGCTGATCAATGCTCCACAAGACTGAAAGATCGAACATGCCCTGCCCTTGGTGCCCGTTCTGCAGAAACCATCCCTCTCCGAGCGAGATGCCCGAACCTGGAGGCAGTCAAATACAGGCACCAAAACCGTAAAGCACTCCCATCTCATAAGATCCAGGCCCAGGTCGTTGCCTAAATCGCTGACGTCGGCATGGTGGTCTTCGTCATATCCTGGCCACGCCGCAAGAGTTTGCAATGAATTTCGGTGCCGCAGGGCCTGGCCTTGCAGGATTGACCACTCCTTCTTTGCCCGTACCGCTTGCAAGGCCTCCTGTTCCATGTGGCAGGATCCAGAAACAACGGTGCGTGAGGCCGGAAGGGTCCGCAAGGCCTCACGGCGGACCAAAGCAGCACCACGGCTCCTGAAGCCACTCAAGATAGCAGATCCTCCAAAAGACACAGCTGCAAGGTCCTCACGCAGTCAGGCCGAAACCGGGGCGTCGGAGTGCTCAGTTCGGGGCTCCAGTGCTTGTCTGGGTTCAGTGCTGCCATGCGACGCACGGCGGCTGCAGCAGCTTTGTCCAGTTGCTGCATCGGGTCCACTTCCGCTTCAGAGGAAGCTTCACTTTCACATCTGGGACTGACCAGTGTGAAGTGTCCGGCAAAGTTGACTTTCTCTACGTTGTGCCTACATGTGCCACAAGGTATCAGCGTCAATGCACCACCCACACAATCAGCATGTGAGACTATCAAGAAGTTTCGGTGAGCCGTATAGCCGCGTTTCACGTAATCCACAAACCTCGCAGCAAAGCGTTGTCGGGCTCCCTTCAGGGTCTCTGGCCAGGCTGGCCACTGACCAAGAACTTTGCGAACCTCCAGGCTCTCTACTCCATGTTTCAGGCAGAAGTCAGTGCTCTGCTGAAGCGGCCGCACCGGATTCTCTGGCTCGTTTCCCATAATGCAAGGCCCATAAATTTCCCCGAGGGAGTTGTCGATGAGTAGCTTCGTGCTTTTTCCAGAGCTTTTGCAAACACAAGCAGCTGTCTGAACACAACGCAAATAAGGTGATGTGATGACGACATGTAGATCTGCATCCAGCTCACCAAGGACCCTGTGTAGCCTCACTCCAAGTTCCTCGGCTTCGACGAGGCCCGTGTCACTCAGGGGTGGGTCATATGGCCAATGCTTCGAGTCCTGAGTCAAACACCATGGCATTCCATGCAGAAGCGCACCCATATCATCTGCACGCTCGGCGTGGCGGCAGACGGCAACAAATTGCAACGGTAGCCGCTCTTCAGCGTTGCCATGCCCTGGTGAAGTTTGCTCCATTGCGTCTCATCTAGAATCTAGCAGCAACTGAGCCAAGCGATAAGATTCAACGGTTAAGTCGGCAGCATTTATTTGTTCAGGCTAGGGCAAGGGGGTCCAATGCATTGTGTCAGTTCGCTGTGCGGAGTCTGTAAGGCAAGGGATATTAGGCATTTCAAGCTCAACCATTTCGGGTCTGGGGCCGTTCAAGACGGGACCTTGATGAAAAGACTCGGCCGAGTGTCGCCAGCTCAGAGTCAGCCACCTGGAAAAGCAAGCGAAGCTGCAAACAAGGGCCCTGTCATGCGTTCACCTCGAAAGGCCCGCTCCTTTGCCAATCCCCCGCCTTCTGGCACAGCTGCAAACTACCAGTGCCAAGGCTCCATCTGCTTCGTCGGCTGCTCGTATGCAGCCTGGCTGGTGGACACAGGGAACCCCCCTAGCACAAAACTGAGATTCAGCCACGCAGTAACAAGAGAGCATTGACGAGCTATGTTGGATGTTGCCTAATCGAACGTAATTTCTCAGAACTGCTTGCGTGAAACTTGACTTGATTGGAGGCCCGTGTCAACATGCTCCATGTTTGTCAGCCTTCGCAAATATTGCATCATTGCACGAGCCTGCCCTTGATGCTCAGTTCCGGCGTTGCTTGAGTTCGAATGCTGTCTAGCGAGTATGCACGCCACAGTTCGAAACCCACGCACAGGCTGAGCCAATTACCTAGCAGGCACCATCATGCCATCTTCGCAGAAAGACATGCCTGCGCTGTCTGCGTCCCAGAGCTGTTCGCCGCATGGCCCATGTCTTTTGTGATTCGTGTCAGTTCTACTGTGCTGCATAGAGCTGGGCTGCGTCATGCTGTATCCATCCATGGCGCAAGGGCACAGAAAAGAGACTGTTGACAATCACTACTGCTGGAGGACTACGGTGCTAAGAAGGTATGCCAATAAAGTTGATGCAATGTCAGCCTGCACTAGCCTGCACTGGCCTGCACTAGCCTGCACTAGCCTGCACTAGCCTGCACTAGCCTGCACTAGCCTGCACTAGCCTGCACCAGCAGCAGTCACATTGAGGTTTGAGAGTTGGCATGCGGTACGCGAAGCAGCTGCAGCAATCGTCGTAAGATCTCTGCACAGGAGCTCAGAGCCGCATCCGCCGACTGGACTGACCCCCCGCCTGCTTGGCACCAAGAGCAACAAGGCCATCACTGCCGGGGCGCAGCTGTTGCGTCAAAAATTGCAGGCAATCCTGCCAAATGCGCAAACATGCACGCCCAAACTCCTCAGAGGCCTACATCTGTGCAGATGCTGATGCTTCCTCCTCAAAACGCTGCCCGGCCTCAAGTACAGACAGGGACGAAGAGACGACAAGGACCGCTGTTTCCTCTTTGGGGATCCTTGGGGCCCGGCGGTCATCAGACTCACGCCATGACTGCCGCTACTCTTTGTGCGAACACAGAGAATGACTCTAATAATCCAATACCGCCCAACACGTCGTCCTTGAGAGAAGACATGGAAAGGTGGGACTAGGCTCAAAATGGCACAAGCCTTTCACAACTACACGACACCACATTGCACATCCCATAAATGCAGCTCTCCCTCCTGACCCCATGTGCGGCTTCGGTGCGGCATGTGGGCGAAGCAGCGTGTGGTTAGAGACATGTTCCGAGGAATGTACGCAACCCGAGTCTTTCGAAGCGAAGAATTGAGCGGGGTCTCGAATCTGCATCTTTGCTACGCAGGAACCGTTCATTTGAAAAAAATCTTGCCCGTTCAGAGGTCTGGAAACTGCTCCCACTCAGCAATCCGGGCATGCACTCAGTATGCTGCCATAGTGCTGTGGAGAAATGCAGTGCCGGCAGAGCCCCTCACACACGGAATGGAGACAGAATCGCTGCAATGGAGCTGTGCAAATGAGTTCCACGGACTGCAGCCCCCTGACTCCATCAACAGCAGTGCACCCTAAATCAGGACATCTTGTGCCGTCTAGCAAAAAGCTTTACGTCTACACACAACTGCGGCAGGTAGGGGCGGCCGAGTCGCTGCTGGTTTCTCAGCCTGCTTGAACGGGAAGATTAATCACTTAATTCTACTGCACACTATTGACTAGCTCAATACTTCCTCGCTGCTCCGGCAAGCCCCGTGTCCGCAACACACCTCCTAAGAGCAGCAAGGAAGGCTCCATATACATTAAAGAATAAGCCACTGCTCCGGGCACGGAGAGAGGCAGGCAAGCTGTTGTTCCGTGCAAGCCTGGTGCCAAGTCGCACGAGGGCCGTGACTTGGAACCACTTGCCTTTTGGTTGATTTTATCTTCATGCTCTGCCTGGACAGTGCGGCAGAGTACTTAGGTTTCCCTGTCTAAAAGTTCAGCCAATGATGAGGCTCTTGAAGCGCTGACCGATGGTGCCAGTAGCCGCTGAAGTGCCGCGAGAGGAGAAGCGAGAGCGCACCTTCAGAGCGACTGTAACAATTGTTCTCCCGGTTCCATGCATTGCCGCAGTTTTGGCGAAGCTTTCAGACCCTGCAAAGCAGTAGCTTCTAGAAGAGCTCCATGCGATCTTGTTGGCAGCTTGCTCAAGGTGCACGGTAGTCGGGACCCCATTTCACAGACCGTGCCGCAGAGCCTGCAAACTTGCCCGGCTCTCGAATTTCGCCGCAACTCCTTTTCGCGATGCAACCACCCAGCTCATGGCCTCAGCTCCAAATGCAACAGCTCATTCTCAGGAAAGACTTGTCCAGACACTGAGCCCAAAGCCTGGAAGACAGTCAATGCCGCTGCCGTGAGCGGGTTCAGCTCCGTCAAGAACCTGACACAACCAACCAAAGCCAGATGCAGCCATCGCTTGACGGCTCGCCGCGAAGGTACCAGGTGCTGTTGAGAGTCGTGATAACACCTGCAATTGCAATGGCAACAGCCGAGTTGAAGGGCAGCAAAGCACCTGCACAAAGCGAACTCGACTGCATGAACAACGGACACCGGTAGCAACACATCTCAAGCTTCAAGACCGGTGCCTTGCTGCTCTGCTCGATTAGCAAAGGCTTCACAAAGAGACGCAGCGCGCCTTGCACGAGTAATGTACGCGGTGATACGTGGTAGTGCGTGCAACAGTATGTGGGAAAGCCCGGCAAGAAGCACGAGAAAAGCACAACTAAATTCGCATTCAAACACGTGAAATGCGAAACTGAAACCGGGCTGAGCCGCGAAACGGGGCATCTCACTCGGACAAACTTGATAAGATCAAGAACACTCTGGGCTATTCTCATATTGGCTGCAGATATAATCGAAGTATTAGTTGTAATTGTTCTTCCTGCATGCACTGACCTGCATCAAGACTACTCAAGATATGTCGTTTGTCATGTTCACTGGAGCCGGATTTTTGCAAATTTATTAAACCATGTGCATTGAACTTCAGGCCTCGATTGTGATCTCACAAGATGGTACCGGTGGAACACACTCGAGGGACGAAGGCCCGAAAAGAAATATTCATCCTTCTTTGAATCACAAAACTTTATCACATATGTAACCAACTGCTAGTCTAATTTAGTGGCCACACTGATCACAGGGGGAAGCCACGATCTAGCAATGTAGATTCGTGTCCCCGGAGATTCAGAGATTCCAAGTGGACTGTCTGGGAAGGTTGCCTGCAATTTGAAGGTCATGCAAAGCCGGTTGCGCTGGGCTGGACCTCGTCTAAGACTTTCTGCAGGCGGTTGTGGGTGTTTCGTTTTCTGGCGTTATTGAAAGTCGCGTCGATGTTGTCATACAAGAAATGTGCGGCAGAGGTGCAATTTCGTACCAGTAAGCGACATGTTCATGGTTGCTCGTCATTGGTAGCACAGATGCTCCCCGCCCGCTCGCATGCACACAAAAATCAAAGAGCACGGCCCTGTGTAGAAAGCAGCACGAGCAGTATGGGTTGGTGGTAACAAGAAGCCACAACTCCCCTTCCGCATCCCCGAAAGCTGGGGTTCTCGCCCTTCAGCTAGGCCTTTACAGGCTAACGGACTCAGAGAAAGGTACAGCATCACGACCCAGAAGTCTGTGGCTAGTATGTAAACCGTGTGCGAGCAAACAATGGCAATATGCTTGAAGCCAGGGAACTCGGACTGGCGTTTAGTATGCATCTGGGAATCCGAGAACAGGATACGAATCCAAAACATCTGTGTCGAGTAAGCTGTTCTATTGGTGATCTGTGAATGCTTGCAGTCTGCGAAGTATACTTCCAGAATACTGACTGCGCCAACAAGGCAAAGTGCAGGTGAAAACACGAACTCGCACCCCGTTGTTGTAGCTGCTGTTGTTCCGGAAAACCCTATAAACATCTTAAGTCCCGACAGGGCTTGTGTAGGCGTCCTGTTCAAGCAAATACACGTAGCAAGCACAGACTCGACTTTTGTTGCTGCTGTGGTGGAACTGCCGTGAAAGCAATTCCAGGTGGCAAAGGGACTGTGACCCGATTGCTGCGGTCATAGGATTACCAATGCTAAAACATACACAACAAGATGCACATGTACACAAACAGGGAGATAGATAGGTCGCCATTTTCTTCTCTTGCAAACCCAATGTGTCTCACTCATTGCATGTCCGAGCCGCTTGCACGATGCTTGAGTCCTTTCCGCTCTACAGGATGCCCTTTCGGCTTGAACCATGGTCAGGGCCACCACCTGCTGCACTCGCTGGGCCGTAGCGATGCACTCGCTTCGTCTGCTTCTCTGCTCTGCTCTCTGAGGACACCACCAAGGCAGCTGCTCCACTTGCATCCACGCATTTTTCACCAAGTTCTTCCCCGAGCGGGAATATGAGTAACCTTGCCGGCTGCCCACCCAGCATGCTCGATGAAAACACGTAACACTCTAACTTCGCGGAACCGAAACTCATACAATAACACTGTTCCTGGTCCTGGTTCCACGAAAAAACATTCACTTGAGGGCAGAACTGGCCTGCAAGCGTTTGTCAAGAATCCCCGCTCGTATCTAGTTACATTACTTGAGAATGCGCAGCCACGTCCAGAGCCTTTG